AAAAGTAGATCATAAGCAAATTTATAGTAATTTTCCAGGCAAATTTGCCTGGAATTGCTCTACAGTTTAAGGGATAACGATAATGATAATATTGTAATTGATAATAGAGATAATAGCCGATTTTTAAATATTTTAAGATATATGTACAGACTAGTAAATGTTCTTTTGTTGTATTAGTTATCTTTTGCTTCTTTTCATTTTTTTAATTCTTTTGCTTCTTTTTTTTTGGCTTTTTTGCATAGCTTTTTTTGCTTTTTTTTTTTTTTTTTTTGTTAATAGCTATGTAATAATTACATAATGATGATTTTATTCACTTTTTTTTTGAAAGTCTAATTTTTTTTTCATATATAAAAATTGAAATCGAATTTTTTTTAATTTTTTTAATTACTTATGCAATATAAAGATGGATGATATAAAATACGAAGACAATTTAAGTAATGTTAACACTTTTAAAATCAATTCCAACTTAATTAATGAAAGTACTAGAAGTCTTAAAACTAAAAACTACAACGTTCTGGACAATATAACTATTCTTGAAGTTAAAACCAATTTGCAAGACGAAAATATTATTAAGATTAATCAAGGTTTTGAAGCCAGTATCTATAAACCAAATAACAGATTAAATAATGAATCAAATAACAAAGTGAATAATAACTTAGACCTAAAAAGTTATCCAAATAGAGACTTGGCTAATATGAATAACAGCAAAGTTAATAATAAACTAGATAATAAACTGAATAACAATGAACTGAATAATGAGCTGAATAATGAGCTGAATAATGAACTGAATGATGATATTAGCAGTAATCTGAATGATATTCGATGATATAAAAGATGATTTGAACAATGATATAAATAGTGAACTAGATAATAAAGATCCTAACTATAGTCTAAAAAATTATCTAGAAAAAAATGAAAGCGAAACAAATTCTCAAATATTTACATAGACTTTCCTACCTGAACTATTAAAATTTATACTTCTTAAAGATTATTCTTACTTAGTTAAAAAGTTTAATATATTGCCGTCATTTAAAACTGATAAAAATTTTACAATTCCGCAATTTGAATTAGATGCATTTGTGGATATAAGCATTAAAGAAAAAGCATCTGAGTGGTTTATAGCATTTGAATCATAGTCAAAAACCACAATACCCGAAATTAAGCATTATGAAATTAAAAGAAAAAGTGTGCTTTCCCGGGAATTGCATCACTGTATTTACAGTAATAAAGTAAAGAAAAAGCAAGGATCTTGTGAAACAAAATGTTTAAGATCACCTAGAATGCGAAATACAAATTGTACTGCAACAATACATCTTTGATTGGAAAATTGGCGTATTAAATTTAGTCATCTACTTGAAATAAATATAAAATTTACCTATAATAATGTAGTTAATTCAGCTACATTATTAAGTTTCCATCGTGTAAAAAATAAAGTATATGAAAAATACTTAGAGCTATTTAAAGATGGTCATTCCCTGCGTCAGCATTATATATTTATATGGATGAGCTTTATTTAAATACTAAAGATGACCAAGAGCTATTAGAAGTATTGGCTGATCAGGCTCAAAACCCAGATTATGATTATATCGCAAAACTTTTTCAACAATATCACAGCAAAATGTTAGGTGGTTTTAATAGTGAAATAATATTTGAACAGTTGGAAGAACTTGTTAATAATTATAATAGTTCATGTTAAGGCAAAGCAGTATTACAAAAGTATAATGAACATAATAAAAAAGAGTTTATACTATGTGTTGTAACCAACTTAAATGAACATAATAAAAAAAAGTTTATACTATGTGTTGTAACCAACTTAATGTTACAGATGCATGAGAAAATTTTACAAGCAGGCGAATTGTGTTATGTTGATGCTTTATTATCATTTGAGTTTCTTAATACATCTATAACACTCTTTTATACTAGTTGCACAGTAGGTGCACTTCTATTAGGTCTATTTATCACTTTTAATGAAACAGAAATTACACTAAAAGGGCTATAGATTTATTAAAAACAATTCTTCTCTTTTACATATTTTTTGGACATGGACCTCTAATTGGGCCAAGTGTTTTTCTTACTGATGATTCAAGTGCAAAGCATAATGCTTTGGAATTTAGTTGGCCACAAGGAACATGTTTTTTATATGTGTTTTATGTATTACAAGCTTTTTGAAGATGGCTTTATAATGCAAAGCACCATATTAATAAAGAAAATCGAGTATTAATTATGCAAAAAATGAAAAAATTCTTTATGCATCTTCTGCTTCAGAAATGAATTTGCATTATTTAGAGTTTGAGCAAAGTTTTTATCATTTATATTTTTTATTACAAAAGCATTTTGAGCATATATGGGAGAGATACCATTTTTGGGCACTGTCTTTTCATCTAGAGATACTCATGCATAGGAACAATACTAACAATTATGTTGAACGAGTTTTTTGTATATTAAAAAATATTATATTTACAAGAACTCAGACATATAATATAGTACAGGTGTTTCAATTTATAACTATAAATATGGAAAGGTTTTATGAATGAAGATTACTCAATTTTTCATATAATCATCCTGAACATTTATGAATTACAAAACGATTTCTTTGCCTAGGATGGGAAATGGTTAATGCAGATTGTATTCAAAGATTAGATATGAGTAATGAATTTTTAGTACCAAGCACAAAACAGGATACTGATATTATTTACACTATAAACAGTGAAATTGGAACGTGTAACTGCTTTGTTGGTATGTCAGGTGCACCCTGTAAACACCAGGGTGCTGTTGCGATGAAATTTAATATTTCATGTTTAATTTTTTGCCCTTACTACCACCTGATGATTGCATGCTATATGTATATATTGTACTTAGTTACACTGCAAAAGATAGCTTTTTTTATGCATCACTTAATGGGGCTTTTATTTCACAACATCATGAAGATTTTCAAACAAACACGATGAGAGCTTCAAATAATAGTATAAGTAATACTAATGAAAATTCTCAAGATGATAATGAGTATAAGGAAATTAATGCTACTATATTTAATAATTTTTTAGATGAAATAAAAGAAGATTATTAAAATGCTGATTTTCAATTATATACTGCATTAAATAAATTTATGAACCATTATCAAGCAGCAAAAAACTAGTCAACTTCTCAATTAATCTCATTCTTTATGATCTTAATGGTGGTGCCGACCCTACAGCTCATATTAGAAGTGGCTCTATGATTTGGGTTCAGGTTGAATCTGTCAAAAGATGCAAAACAAAAGGGTCAGGACATAAGCAAAAGTTACTAGCAGCTCTTAAAGATAAGGAAAATTTTGATTCACAAATTATTCCCAGTAGGAAAAAAAGAAATAATGGCAAAAAAGAACACAATTTGACTAAAAACATACTGAAAAATAGGCCAAATTAAAAGCATTTAGTGATATTAAAAAAAAAAAAAAAGCATAAAGTTGAATATTTTGAAGATTGGCACAGAACATTTATATTTTACAAATTCCCAAAGATGGTAAATTCTAATACTTGCTACTTACAAGCTTTTTGAAAAATCAGATAAAGAATACTTTAAAAAAGCAATGTATTATTGAAGAATTAATGCTATATATACTATTTCTAGTAAGAAAATAAAGATATTAATATGGTCAAAAATATTTTTTAGTGAATTAGCAATTATAAAATAATTATCTTTATTTTTTTATTTTATTTTTTTTTTTGTTTGTAAATTGCTTATACGCTGTAAATCTTTATTAGTTAATATGGAACATAGTATAATTAGATATTACAGTGAAGGAGTTGTGCTATACTAATTACTTAATGACACCCACCTTAGCAATTTAGTCATACTTTTACTATTTTAGAAACTAACTAACGGCTATTACCCCATCAATTAACTTCTTAGTTGGC